ACCCCCATGGTGGGACTCATAACATAAATAGTGAAAAGTGGGTGTTACATTGTACAGTGACATTAAGTGCCGAAATGTGCACCTCTGCCTACCCCTTCGGGGAAAAAAAAGGCGTGATGTTATGTTATGTTATACTGTATACGGTAAGTATTAATTGATTTTCAATATTCTACATTTTTACGAAACAATGTATTCTTATAATGAATAAAACACAATTTTTAACGTTCCACTGAAGGAAAAATAGATGTTAAGATGACGTAATACCTACTCAGCTGTAGTCGTCCTGAATACTGAGGCACAGTGAAAATGCGGCCACTCAGTTGTCACTGTCATACTTTTTATTTCTTTCTTAAAGTACTTTGAGTCAGTTTAAGACCAACACTGAGTTTTATTCAGTTAGTTAAAACTCAGATTGTGATTTTACTTTGGCATACAATTAAAGTTTCCGTGTAATCAGAAAATAAGAGCCAAGAAAACGGTATTCATTTTATGAATTTTCTTTTATTAGATTTTTAAGAAACAAGTTTGATAATTGGTTCTTTTCAAAACCGGTTAAAAACTGCTTCATAATAATTTGAATATACCTTATAACTCCAGAATAGATATTAGTGGTTAACTGTTGATAAAAAGTCCAATGATGCTCAATACAAAATTTGATGGTGTCGTTTTTATGGAAAGTGTAATATGGGCATGTAAACCGGGGTAATTCCATAGTACTCATACTATACTATAGTACGAGTACTATGGACATGTGTACTATGCATAAAATACTAAACGTTTAACATACGTAAGGCTCTGATACTTTCATTTTAATAAAAGTTATTACACTTTACATTGGAGAAAATAGGTTTTATAAAGTACATTTTAATTTATTGAAACAAGTAAATTCTGTTTCAATTCAACAGAAACAACAGTGTTGATTGATATTCGTTATTATTAACCTCCAGCGTATACACGCCAATGATTAATTATTCAAGATTAAAAATTATATAGCCAACTACGGATATTTGCATCGATGAATACAAAATTTAATGAATGATATTATTAAGCTTCATTTTGTTTTACGCAGCCAGATTTTATTAAAGGTGTATCCGTATGATTACTAGTCTGTATCCCTATTATTTTCTTAGTTTCAATGTTTGTTGTTTAATAAAATAAATAGGCAGAGGCGCACATTACGGCAATTAATGCCACTGTACAATGTTCACACCCACATTTTCCTATTTATATTATGAGTCCTATGTAGTAGGGGGTGAGCCTATTGTCATAAACAGGGCACAACTCCGTTTTTTCTATTGTGCCATACATTCCATATAATAAAATAATAAAGGTCTATTTGTACAGAAATCTGTAACTTTGTAAACATCTGATTTGCTCGCGATCGCTTACCATCAGGTGATCAGTCTGCTCGTTTTTTCGCCTCCTATTCCATAAAAAAAACTAAACTATAAGCTATAAAATCTATTAATAACTAATTAATTCGATTTTTGAACCAAACATACCAGATTGTGCTGTAAAGACTAGTACACAAGTTAAAACTCTATTACACTATGGTCGAATCATATGCACTATACCTAATGCTACATAATTCCGTTAGTAACTCCGTGTAGATAAACATATGTATATGTAGCTAAGGAACACGCATGTGCTTTTAGCTCTTGTATTGTTCTGATGAACCTCAGCTAATCTGATTAATCTGATTAGGATAGGTTGTCGATGGGTCGATCACTAGTACAGGCACAGTCTTGCCTGGGCATTGGGTGCACAGTGAAAAAGGCCAAACTAATGGTTGGGGAGAAGTTGTTTGTGTCAAACCCAATTAATAAACAGATTGGAGGGTAAGTACCTACAGTTAGAAATGAAGTAATGTTGTGAAACATTAGAATTGGCTAGTTCTTGGTCATTTTCCTGTCGCTCTGATTTTTTAACAGGGTGCTTGAATTTGAGTTTGAAGTGCGAATAGCATTTTAAAATCATTTCAAACTTTTAGACTAAGCCAGAGGCCTTGGTGTAGAAGTGTTTTTGTTGGGAAGGCGTTCTTTATTTTCATTATTATTTCAACCTGTATATACAGAGGATTTCAAGTCCACAATCTCATAGTCCTAAATGTGTATTAGAAATGGCTTTAATGCAGATAGGTAATAGGTTACTTTAAATTTAGACCATGAAGTTTATGTTGTCACTATACAAATGTTGGCCTGGGACTGAACTCAAGCATGACTCATGAAATGTAATAATAAATGCAAAAGCAATCTGTGCTCAAACTAGACTCGAATTAAAATTTAATTACCGTGCCAGCCGAGGGTTGAGTGCCGAATGGTTACGTGGGACTTCTGATCAAGGTGCATTAAGTTCCCATGTATAAATACGACTGTCCATGCTCGGATAATACAATCAACCGCTACGTTGACGAACACAATTAGAACCCTGCTTAATACCTCTAAGTTCTCGAAACCATAAAGGTAATGGGCGCTTAATGAATTATTGTCAGTCCCGATCTAATGCACTAGTACTCTAACTTGTGGTTTGGTAAAACAAACCGTATACGTTCAACTGAAAGTTTCAAATACTTTACTCTTTTTTGTAAGATTTTGGAGAGTACAAAAACAGTTGGACGTAAATGCTGTTTAACCTATTTCGTTTGTGTCTTATTGTAGTTTCGTAAGTGAGGGGGTTCCGATGTTAGGTTTAAAAACCTTGATCTTTTTTAAAAGAATAATGACAACTATTTAAGTTAATGAATAGTTTCTCTGTGTAGAAATATCACAGCTATAATAAATAAATGCCTAATACAGTACAGAAATACATAATAATATTATTGTAATGTACCCTCCGTGTAGCTGATGGCAATGCTCTTAATTAAATTCGGATACAAAGTTGTGGAGGTCGCCCTGAGGCATACACAAGCATTTTGAGATGTTCTTGTTACACAAGATCTTTAACCACGGCTAGTAAGAATATTTGGTACGTAATTGACTACAAGCTTTATGCCTTCATACAAATACAGTCGATTGTTCCTTGTACGTTATGCCGCTGAAATATACCTATTTTTTACAACTGTTTAAATTGTTTCTTACATACTTTTTAGACATTTATTTCGTATTTATTTACACAGAATTAATAAAATGTATCTTTGTTCGTACATAAGTTTATTCTTAAATCGTCTCGATACATTAATTTTTAATAATTCTGGAATACAAAAGAGGTTTTTCAAATTGCACAGAAAAAAATATAACAAGATATTATACTTTTTTATATCAAGCGTAATCTTATAATGAATCTCGTGAAAAGAATGATGACTTAACACTACTTGCAATAAACTTTTCACATGTTTCTATTATTGTGGTTTTAAAAGTTTAGATCTTATAACTAATGGATTTAAAGTTTATTTTCGGTAACAACCGTTAATGATGATAAATCGGTTTACTTAGTACTTGGTTTTACTAGAACTTTGTTTTTTAGCTTAAATGAAGACGTAACAACATTTCGTGTGAAAGAACATCAAATAAAATATTCAAAATAAATCCTGTACGAGGGAGGAAAGCAAAACCTCTAGCGAGATATTTTTTAGCTCGGCTAATTATCGCCTCAACTGGGTCGGGTCAGGCATTGCTATAAAATTTTATTTTGGACTAATATACCAGCCTCCATTATTCAGTTAGTGCTTTGTATAGTGCCCCTCAACCGTCCATAGAGTTAATTACAAATTGATATAAATTTTAGCGTTTAATCTAATAATTAGGCAGGCTAAATTAATAACTGCTATCTAATATTGATGTTAAAATGATTGATTTTAAAATAATATAACGTTTAGGAAGCTGGTTAAATATTTAAGTCGTTAAAAATGTATACAAGTTGGAAGCATATTGGATGTCATTTAAAATACACAGACGTCAGTTTTTTAAAAGAATATCTATTGCTTCCTAGCTAGTACCAAGTGTGTGTGTGTGTGTGTGTGTGTGTGTCTTTCTCGCAACAAACAGAGTTTATAATAACATTATTTTTGAACTTGAACATATTTAGGGAGTTCTAGAGTAATAGAAGCTAAAGCTACTGTTTTCCAATCACCGAAGTCATACATTACTAAAAAATTGGAATTTCGAAGTAATCCGACAAACTGTGTCCAGTTATTTGAAAGGAAACAGCGACACAGGTACAAAAATTTAGATATCAAATGAATAGTTACGTAGGATTTTCTGTAACGAACACTATTTTTTAAAAAAGACGTAGCTTATTGCACGTACCTTGGAAACTTAATCTTCGTAACTCTAATGCATTATCATAACTATCACTATCCAGTTTCAAGGTTCAAAGTTTACATTGTGGTAACATATGCAAAGCTGAGCCAGAGATGCCGTTTGGATATTAAGTGGTTATATTATGATTTATGTTCGAGAAGAGGGTGAGAACTAATAGTAGGGTTCAGACGAAGAAACTTTTGTAAAAGTAAAATAGCTCTGAAATAGACACTGAACAGATATTTATCACTACTTTTAGTCATTTTTATGAATAATTTTGGCACTATTATTGAACTTCTTGTTAAACGAATGGTATACAAAGTGTCCGTGCCCAGTTTGTAATTAAAAGTAACTAAAACGCTAAACAAACAAATGTTAAGTAAAAAAAATCATAATAATTTGGTCCAACGACTGACCATAATTAATTGCTTTTGTACCAATAATTAAATTTTCATAGCTCGCGTGGTAAATGCCAGGGTTGATGTTAAACCTCTGATGGAATTTATTTTTCACAGTACACGCCGGCGGCGTCAATCATTTAATTCATCTCAAAATATATTTTATTTTAATACGAGATGATACAGGCTATTGTGTAGCCTATTTAAAACTTTACATTTTGATTTATTCAGTAAAAATTGTCATCATACTGAATACTAAAGTAATCAGCAATAATTTGGATACATGGACACATTAATGGTCCCTTGGCTGGACGGCGAATCGCTAATTCACTTGACTATGTAGATATTAACCATATTCATAACTATGTTTGCATTCCGACATCCTAATAATAGTCTAAGTCAGAGCCGTACAAACATACTCGGAAATAATTTATGTACTGCTGTGTGTGATTTAGTCTACCAATCAGGAACAACAGAGGCCATTCTCAGTCAATCAGGGTTATTGATTTTGAAAGGGATTTGGACGTTTTCCTTAAATGACCAATCAGGGTTCTTGGGCCAGCGGCTTAAGTCATCTCGTTTCTTATTAAGATTACATATTAAATCATTTGTCCTCTATTACATTTATGACAGCCATTTCAGAATACTGATGTTTTGTCTTTGAGGCAAGGAATTTCTTTATTTAATTTGTTTAGCGTTTATTTAATCGGCATTTAAAGATATAATGTATATTTTTAAGCCTTTTTATCCTTTCGCTGACTGGATAACTGTTTTCAAATGACATTATTAATTTATTTTATGACGTCATGTTATTTCTAATTAACATTTTATTGCCGAATATAAGGGCACGAACAATTTAGAAAATTTGATACTTTAAACGGTTTCAGAAATTAATTTTGAGCGGCGGTCTCGTATCTGTGGAAGCTACGTCAGGCGTTTCCAAGCAATGTAATGGCTTTATGAGATTCCCTCCACTTTTTTCGAATAATTCCTTCGTGTAACGAGCGAAATTAAATTATTGTGTCGGCCGTGTATCCGACGCAGGTGAGCGAAAATTGGAATAGCTGCATTACTTCTTTCGAACGAACGGATTTTATTAACCGCAAGTAAGAACAATGTCGGCTTGTGACGGCATTAAAAATAATATGAAGGAAATGGAAAGTTGAGACGGAATTAAATGTCGAGAACAGATCTTCAACCAAGAAACGGGAGCGTATGACGAACAAAGTATACGAATATGCTATTCAGATTTTTATTAAACTGTTTTCCGGAAAATACTCGACGTTTCTTCCGCATCAAATCCTATAAACACACTTAAAAAGCCACAAAGGTACGCAATAACGTAATGTTACCTTACGGTAAACCGAAAACAATTCATTTCTGCGAGCCCCCCGCACGCTGCCCCCCCCTCCGTCACGTACCTGCGCCCTCATCCCCTAAAGGAACCGTGGAATGTTAGCCGATCCGTAAAAAGCAATTCTTCCCGCGCCGTTTGCCTTTTTCACCGTACATTTAATGTGAACCAATGTAATAGTTTATTTTGGTTTTTTAAACGCTCTCCCTATTGATACTGGTATTCGCTGATTCAGCAGCTAATTGATCTTGAATGTTGCTATTAAGTAGGATCAGATACAAAAAGATTTTCTATAAAGATCGTTGTATGCTTAGGCGGTTGCTTATACATTGTAGTAGTTGTCCACAAATTCATGTCGTTCACTAGTACGCCTACGGGGTTGTAGCGAAATGACGATATGAATGTTTTTCAATAACAGTATGAGCGTCATTACATTGTCAAACATGAATATTCTACTGATATCCTGTTTGCGAAGGACATGTTGGGAATTTCACTCGAACAAAATAAGGAAATGGAGTGTAAATAAAGCGAAATTGAAGTGTATATATCCGCCTTTACTTGTTATGCTCGAAAGGCAAAACGTATAGGAAAAACACAGTACAGATCCCTAAATTCTGTCTCAAAAAATAGTGAGTTTTGTGATGAATATCATTTTCTTTTAGCAATATCACAACGAATATGTCAATGTAAAAAGCGAAAGGTATTCGCTCCATTGACTCAGAAGAAACATATGAACAAGTATATCGTTTTGCAGATATAACTGTTCCCAGTGCGTAGAGTACAGTGTATGGAGAAAACAATAAATATTAGTTTATTTTAGAATATATGAACAGCTTCTGTGTGACCAAAGATCAGGTTATAATGATCGAAAGATTCTTCACGATAACTTTCCTCGTAACGTTTTATTAACAATGTTAGGGTCACCACTACTCCTGACCATATTCGACTATTTTATACAAAGTGATTGCAATCTGCCCTCCACGAAAGGGTGAGCCTCGGTTAGACCCGTCGTCATTAATGAATCGCGTAGCAACCGTCCTTTTGTACGAACAGGGGTGTAACCCAAGACTTCGTAACCATAGTTGCGTACACAAGAATCACTAAACCCACAAGGCTCCTGCTTTTCGTGATAAAATATTTACTATGTATAAATATATTTTAATTTCCTACAGCTTGTAAAAAAAGAAATCTCTTGCCATGCTTCATATTCTTGAATATCGCACAAGGCGTGTTGTAAACTCACCAATAAAAGGTAACTACGTCGTTTTGCAAAAATGTGTACAATACGAAAACACAAAGAGCCATCACTGTTTCTGAAATGTTAGATTCAATATCGGAAAACTGAAGTTGCCAAGAAAAATATTCGCTACTATGAATAATGGGAATTACAATGATATTTATTACAAAAAGTTGTAAATAATTTCCCTTCTTGAATAATAAAGTAGGAAATGTTGCGTTTGTTTGTAAAGCACTTATACTTAGTGGACTAAATAAGGTAATATTGGCCACGTAAGTCGAAAAACATCTGCGTCCTTCCATTAACGCGGCTGTGAGCGGTGGGCCGGGCGCTGTGCAAATTACTAGCTATTGTACACGTTGTGGCCAATGTGAACACTGCTCACATTCCGGGGCCGGCATTCTGATAAACTCATTTTAAATACTTGTAGCGGTCGTAAACAAACTTGTGGGATTCAACCATTACTTTCAATTTGGTTCCAGTGATGGGAAATCGACTGTAAATATTCCCATTGTCCTGGTATTCTATAAAAAACTTCACATTAACATAAAGAGAGTGGTTTCGTTATAAAAACACGTGTTGTTTCATTTTATTTTCCCTCCACCTCATATTTTATCCTGAATATATTTGCGTTGTTCCCATATAATTTCAACATTGTATCCATTTACGGTGTTAAAGAAATGCAAGGTCACGATCTCGTAGTACGCGGGGGTAATGACCGTCGCTGGAAAAATCTGGCGACTGAAGTGTAAGCACAGCTTTACTTGCATTTACAGTGTATTTTTTATTTTTCTTGGACAGGATGTGAAACGTATTAGTAACGCCAATTACTATTTATTTTTCTCACGTGAGATCTCTATAGATGTTAAGAATTTTCCGCTATAACACGGGTAAGAAATTGATGTTTATTTGTATTAACAAAACGTTATTGATTATGTTAAACAAAATGTAGGAAAAAGGACTTGCAGAGAATAAACATACGGGAACCGAAACAATATTTGCGGTGTCGTGCCTTCAAATGATATCCTTCCACGCTAACTCGAAATCTTTCAACGGGTTGCTATTGTTAAAGAAAGAATAACATTGAGAGACGTTTGAAATGAAGCCTCTTCGTGTCTCATGACAATAAATTTGGATCATTGGACGCGGATGTCACAAATAGCGAGCCAAGTACATACTGGTACTAAGGACGTCTGCTCACTTTAACTATCGCCGCACTAAATATTAATGGCTTGCTTTTTCGACACAAAATATTCACAAATGTCAAAAACATCAGGTAATACCTCCAAACTACCCTATCTGTGTTAGGTACATAAAAATACGTTTGAATTGTTTCTTTCGCCCACAACGCGCCGTGGTTTGCTCGTAGCCTGTCCTCCTTTCACCAACTAATTTTCCCAACGAAATTATGAAAAAGCCCTAAGCAGTATCTTAAAATTTTATGCGGCTGTATTAAAGAAAGTAAAAAATAACATTTCATTTAGGCGGCCCACCTAAAAAATATATAAACATATTTTTTTACTAAAACGAAACAAAATACGGAATTTAGAGTGACTTGCTCGTAAAGCAGGAAAAAGTCGTCTCATTTATTTCCCTCTTAGCGATAAGGACAGAGAAGCATTGTGGGCTGGCTGACGTCAACTGTCAGATTTCACAACGTTCCACCTCTTTCAGTGGCGTCGTTATGGGCACGTATACCTTGATTTAATTTCTTTGCAACACTGAGAATGGTAAAGGAACGAAGCTGCCTGGAAACCGACACGCTGCCGCACACACACGAATGGAATTATTTATGTGCTTGGACCGAGCAGCCTGTAAACAATATTTTCGAGAACCGATTGGGCGGGCGAGAGCATCCGAGTATTTGTTTATCGCGGTTGATATTTCCGCGCTGTCGCGGCTGGCCCGGGAAACAAATTCGAGTGTTGATTGCGGATGTCCCAGTAGTTTACTCAAGGGTCGAGAATATCCGAATAGAAGACGTTAAGCCAGTTGTCTCGAGTTGAATGACGGTATATTGATCGGTCGTAAACATGGTACAGTCCCGCTGAAATTAGGACGAATGGTCACGTCAGGGTATCGCGTGACGACCGCGTGTCTGCCGGAAACAGAGATATAAAATATTTTTATTGCCGCCTCTAGTGGTTAATAGTAACCATTAGGCTGTTCATTGCTTTGTTTATCTTTCTGCGCGCGTGTTGGGACGGAATTGCGTTATCCACTAGTATGTGTAGTGTTATTCGACAACATAAAAGCAAAGAATTCAATTTAATTAAAGAGGTTTGCAATCTGACTACCTCGTTTTATGCAGAGGTGTAAAAGTAAAATTCTTGATCGTTCCAAACTAATAAAGCATGTTATGGTTGCCTGCGACTTCTGGAAGACGAGTACTTGTTTGCGGCACGTAGCAAATATTATTTACTCGACAAACTTGCAAGAATTGTGTTCAATTCTCAGGTCACATACTTGTTTCCTTGAATTTGAAATGTATTACAGTTGCATACATGCCTCACAGCAATAAAAGTGAGTGGGTTATAAATATATTGGCTTGCTTAGTTATATTTTCTTTGAGGCCATGGTATCTCAGTATGATACGCGCACTTGTAACGTCTGAGTGCACTTTCGAAAGCCTGCAGATGTTGAGTGTTATCACGTTCATATTTTTTCCTTTGCTTTGTGAATTTTATTGAGATGGAGAAGCTATAAAGTTTGCTGTTAACTGAATTGAAAATTTCTTTTAGGAGGAGCTATATTTACGTTTACGTGTTTTTAATGCTCTTTAAAATGGTTAATGCTTGTCTAGATGACCTTCGTTATCATTGGAGACGAAAAATCTCCGTCGCTGATCATAATCCTTTGCCAGGAGCCGTCACAGTAATCCGTAGTGTGACATCTTTGACTTCAAAACAAAGACGACACTATTAAAAGACGGATACTGGCATTATAGCTAAACGAGACGGACAAATATTTAATTGTGGACTTGTAGACATAAGTATGATTGTTTAGTAAGAATTATTTGGTTTTCTTAAGTCAGGCTTTGTTTTTGTGGTTGGTTTTTATTTGTTACTAGTGT